ACTGTACACACGCCAACAAAAACTAGTTGTTGTAATGAAGAATTGTTTCATATTAAATCCTTATGGACAGGGTGAGTTCTTTAAATCCTCAAATCACCCATATGTGCCTTTAAAGCAGGGGTGGAGAACGTTTTCTTGACATCCTCATGGCGCCTTCATTCATACTCTCTCTCTTTCTCTCTCACTGCCTCTCAGAGTGCGTCATAGGTGATGCACTTCACGCCAAACTGTCGAGAAGTTGACCACATGTTCCTGCAGAGCCCTCCCATCACGTGTCTCTGACCCCTCCTGAGGTTATGCTGGAGACTGACGCACACACACGACGCAAAACTTAACAGCGCTTAGCACCAATCAGGATGGCCAGAGGGAATATATCTAAGCACTGCGGTAAGTAGACACACACACACACAGACACACATCTAACACCCTGAGCTTGCTGACACTTTCAGATTTCAGGTCTTAAGCAGTGCACACATTCACTCCCACATTTGGAGAATTCCAGAGCAGCAGCGGCGGCGACGCCAGTGTCTCACATGAGAGCGCAGCACTTATTGCTGATGTGTCACTTTTGACAAAATGTCCCGTCCTCAGTATCAATGTTTGCATAAATGATGATCATTTCCCATTTAAGTGCTACATGGAAATCTTTCAGCCAAGACGACTGCTGATGAGCCCACTTTCTCTCTGCAAATCCTGCTGCGCGACAGTTAAAAGACCTGCAGGCCTGGTCGTTTGGTTTGTTTTATGTGTGTGTGTGTGTGTTTGCAGAACTCAGACCTTCAGCATCTCCTCGTGGATGCCGTAATGGCCGTAGGAGCTGAAGTAGGCCTCGTCCTCATCTTGTCGGAGCTCGGCCACGGTGCCCAGGTTACCAGATCTGCCCGTTTCTGCATTCAGCACCAGACCCTGAGCGAGCAGCCTGAAAGAGCCCGGCGCAGATCTGCATTCAACTTCTCGTATTGGAACGCGGCACAAAAGCACACACAACCTTCATGCAGGACGTAGCAGTAAATGGAGGAGATGGGAGGCATTCATCTTTCTAACTGCCCTCCAAACCTCCCCCCTCCCCCCCAACCTCACTCTTTCTGTAATTTTCCCTTATTGCCCCCCCTCCCTACCTCCCCTCTTCACTTTCACCTCTATGCTGCAGTGGAATTTTCCCTTCCCCCCTTTTTTCTTTTTTATCTTTCCCCTTCCTCCAAACTTCTTCCACAAGGTATTCAAGATGAGGCTTCTGCAATACTGGGTTCACTGTGGCCCCCTGCTGGTGCTCGGAGGGTGGTGCATATAGGAAGCAAGATGATAAACTAAAAGCAGAAACAGACGCAGAAACGTCCACTTACTTGAGTTTGTGTAGGTCGTCCATGGCCCGGGACAGCGCCTCCTCGGACTGACGGGCTCTCTCCTCAGCAGCCTGTGCCTTCCGCAGCAGTGCATCGTGGGAGCCAGCCCCTGACGACGGGCACGTTGACACACTTGAGCCCTGAATGCCACAGAGCTCCTCAGGATCTGGCAGAAATACAGAAAGGGGCAGAAAAACAGAGATGGAAGAGTGAGCACAGACTCAGCACAATATGATTTCACAATTAACTTCCAATGATCTGTTTTCGGTTCTATTTTGAAATCGCTGCTGCACAGAAACTTTTCTTTTAAGTACCTTAAAAACTAAATGAATGATGCAAAATAAATGATTTTGTTTGGTGTGTTTGTTCTTAAAATGAAATGATGTGAGAGGTCATTGATGTCAATAGGATTAATGCTCTGGGAGCATGAATAACTCAGTCTTAGTGGAGTCACTGTACCTGTCTGCAGCAGGGGGTCGTCCTGGAGGACAGGCCGCAGGAAGTCTTCACTCTCCCAGGGTAAGGGGGCGTCTGACAGCCCCGTCAAACAGGATGCATCACATTTCTATAAATGCAGATTTTTTTTTACTTCACCATCTTTATGCTGTGATTTTCTGATCTGATAAGATGTGAAGGGTATAAATTCAAACTCTGGACTGTAGCGTTGAATGATCAGAGATCATCACTTACTTTTGATCGTATGAAGTTGATCATTTTTATGTATCCGTAGTCGTCTAAACCTAATAAGGAGAAAAAGGGTTTTAATTAAACCAAACAGGCATCTGATTCCAGAGTGAGGTTCAGAACATCAGTGTGTACTTACTGTGTTTTCTTATCACGTCCACAAGGTTGATCTGATGCTCCGCTGTGCAGTGCTGCAAGGTGGCAGGTACAGAGCTCAGAGACCTGAACGACAAAGACACAGGAGGGAAAGTGTCTGTAAAACAACGGGTCTAAAGCATTATACTCTTATTACACATTTAAAAACCAGCGCATTGTATAAATAATAAAGAAGTTCCGTTATAAAAGTAGGTGAGTGATAAAAGACATAACATAAATATGCAGTAATACATTTAAATTTGTTGTTACAAGATATTCATGTAGTAATAAAATCAGAATACTCAGAATGAAGACACGGCAATAACAATTGAATATGTAAAGACATATTTAATTATAACACACTCTTCTCTTCTGCAGTTTTTAATATCGGATTTCTGTCACAGTGGAGTTTCGATTGGTTTTGCCCTGGTGATTAAATAAAAATAATATTCTCTGGAATGATTTCAAGTTTTTAAATACAAACTAAAAGAGAAACAGAAAACACTGAGTCTTTTTTTATTCGACTCGATACTTTTCTCATTTCATTTCAGAATCAATAATTCATCTTGGACGGATTGAAGTGGGATTTATAAATCTCTCTACAGGAGTTCAAACAAAGGTTGAACACAGTCGGATCCATTGAGGAGAGACTGACGAATGCAGGTGAAACAGTCTGTCACTGTGTATTCTGCAAGATACGCAACAAGCTTGAAAAACGCTTTGTGTGGATTTCTTCAGTTCAGTTTCACCTCAGGAGAGAGAATCGCTGCAGCAGGCCTGAAATTACACATTCCGTTGATTTATGAAGCCCCCCCGCCCTCTTTGCCAGCTGTTAAGCACAGGGGTGGAGATGTTAGTCTTTGGGCAGCGGGACGGGAAACGCTGCACGGACTGAGGCAGGAACAGACTCGACTTAATACCAGCAGAGTCCAAATGTCAAGAAAGGGACAAACTCGTACAGCAGGTGAAGAACTTAGAGCTGCGTGTCTTGTATGAAAGCTGCTGAACGAATACAAGTTTTATAATTCTTCTTATTTTATTATTTGGGATCAGGACCACGCAGAGGATAAATCTGTTTAAGTGATGTCCTGATATTTAACTGTTTCTTCAATCTTGTTTCATCTGGACAATCTTGAGAGACACTGATCAATGAAAGAGGAATTATTATTATTATTATTATTATTATTTATAATGTCCGGTTAAAAACGTTTGAATACAACTGTAGCTTCTTTCTTATCGTCAGTGTGTCTCCAGATGTGCAGCATCACCTCACCTGTCACAGAACAGACAGCTGACCGCCTCCTCCTCCTCCTCTTCCTCCTCCATCCACTGTTCCTCATCCTCCTCTTCGTCACAGTCAGAGAGCTCGGGCATCTCGTCGGCGGCTCCATCACCGTCTGTGGGAATAAATCACCCGAGTCACTGCACTGGAAACTCATCTCAGGCTCTGCTGCCGCGGTTTCCTCGAGGTTATTTACATCCGAGCGAAAAGCTGCGAACGCGTCGTGCGACGCGACAAACCGCAAACACGCGTGAAGCCCTCACGCAGAAGAAACGCGTCGCTGCGCAGAAACAAACTCATTCCAAACGCGTTTTTATCTCATATTCACAACACTCACGTGCGTCTGTGGACTCCGCCATGTTGCCTCCTTGAGTTCAGTGCACTTCCTGGTGACGTAGGGGAGACGTAGGGGAGACGTAGGGGAGTGACACGAGAAGTGGGAGTGGCTTCATCAAAGAATCACTTCCTCATACAAACCACGAGATGTCGCCAGATTATTTATTTTAATTTTATTAATTAATTTATTGTACTTTATTTAGTTTGAAACAAAAAATAAAGAATATAATATATATGAAATACAACGAATTAATAAAATTTAATACAAATATACACCTAAAATCTTAATTATAAACTAAAATATAATATAGCACCGAGTAGAACTTAAACTTAAACTTAAACTTCCTTTATTGATCCCACAAGGGGAAATTCTTTTTACACTCATGTTTTTCATTTTTAATACATGCATTAACCCACAATCCCACACACACACACAGGGCTCAAAGACATGCATATTTTTGGAGAGAGATGGTAGAGTGATGGTAGAGTGGTAGAATGAATGAGAATGTGAGTTATAATAACTTTAATGATGGTCTTTATATTTTATAATTCTAAACATGTTTTCATGTCTTCTAAAGAGAACCATCATCTGTTTTAAATGAATATAACCTCAGACACAATATCACCGACCAACACAAGTGCTTTATTCTCCATTTCTATAGACTTTATTTGCAGAATTATATTTTATTTTCCATCTTGCAGCAACTCAAGTACATAGAAAATAATATTTTATTACATTCCCTTGTTTCATGAGAACTTGATTGAGAAAGAATCCATGCACAACGTGTTTAGCCACATCTAGCCACAAGGGGGGGCTGCTAGAACAAGACAATAGTTTGAATATAATTTGTCACATAAGAGCAACGTGAAGTGTTTTGAATGGAGGAGTAGGATGCAGCAAAACACAGTAATGGGGAAATTAAATGAAATTGGAGGAATACATTCATTCAAATCTTTATTTATACTTGAGTTTAAAACTATGTTAAGTGGGAAATCAGTCTAAAATAATCAAATTTAAAAGAAATAAAAAGCAAAATGAAATATATGAAATAAAAACATTTTGAATAAAGGGAAAAAGAAAAGCTTTCTAAATTCCAAGATGATTTTTAGTTTAAAACAGACGAAAAAGAAAAACAGCAAAGTTTAAGGAATCCTACGTTCACAATAATTGTTGTTAACGCCATCAAAATAAAACTGGCTTCACAAACATGGAGACACAATTTAATACAAGCAAAGTTTATTCAAAACTGTTCCATTGCTGGTATCACAGAAACTCAGTGGATGGCATTTGTGTGGTAAAGATACAAAATGAACGAATATATTATCTTTAATGAAGCGTTGCAAATATATTGTTTATATACTTTACATATAATATCCACCTGCACAGTTATGATATATGTAGTCATCAGATACTAATTAAATGATATGCTGAAGCTTTTATGAAAACATTTCCCTGATGTTAATGTCACAAATTGACTCTAGTAGTAATTTACTCTTGAAGAAACATGACGTTTATGTTAAGGCAGTGATTCAAGCTGATGTTCCAGAGCGTGAATGGAGAACATCAAGATGAAAACATTCCAGTGTTCACACAGATAAAAGCATAGAAACCCATATTTACAATCTGTCACGATGAAATAATTTACAGGTTGTTTCCTCCATAAAGAATCTAGCACATAAATAGATAACCATCAAAGTGCATTCGCAGTTTTTGTTTTTCTGAGAGCTGCAAAGCTCAAAGAGAAATCAATTAAAAACCCAATTTAACAAAAACTCCTGATGATGATTTCTGAGGATTTGTCGTCCCTCAACATCTGCTGCAGTTATCTGTAAAGAGAAAGTAACATTAACAGACAGAAAAAACTTTCTCTCTGAATCATAACCACAGGCTGGTGCCCAAACCTCAATGTGGCTAAAATAATAAATGAATGAATGTACTCAATGGTTACACAACAATACTTTTCCTGTTTGTGTGAAATACAAGCGGGTGTAGACGACGGTCACGTTTGCGTGATTGCACCACCTCACCAGTGTCGTGAGTCGAATGTAAGCAGCTTAACAAGGATACAGAAGTCTTAAACACAGTATAAATAAATAGTTATGAAATGTTTCTCGCCTCTGTGGTTTCCCGGCTCCTCTCTTATTTCCCTGTGCTCTTTCCCAGATCGCCGATGGCTTTGTTCTCCAGGATCTCCGTCTTCTGCTCAGGTTGACGCAGAGTGTTGGACACCATCGCTTTTGCCACCACTTGGATCGGGATGGACATGGGCGTAGAGCACACCGCAGAGACGGCACCGAAGAACTTCCTGGCCAGCCACTCGCCCGGCCGACTCTCCCGCCTGTCGACCAACAAAACCCTTTTTGGAGGCAAAAACACAAAGGTATTGATGATTTCGAGATTCGTAGCGGGTGGTTTAACTGTAAACAACCCGTTCATAGACCAGATGTTATGTTGGAACAGGCGACTTGAGAAGAGGAGTACAATCAAGCACAATCAACACTTTGTATGATATAAAAGGGTGAGATCACATGTTTTGTATGGTCAGCACCACACTGAAAAAGTTGACTCTTGTTATCATTTTGAATTTGGTACATTAAAAATTTCATACCACACTATAATGGTCCATCAAAGATTTTAAACAAAAGTCACATGGTGTCACAAGAGGCCTGTCGACTCGTCAAAGTGCAGCAGGGGAGACGTCAAACAAACCTGATCACGGTCTCTGAGATGTGTGATCATTAACCCTGGATTTTATCTTCATGTCTTCCACTCCTCTGTGCGTTGAACGTACGCTTCCTGTCGCTGGTCGGGATTATGTTTATAAGCTTAAAAAAGAAGGGGCTGCATATATCTGCGCAAATATTTGGTATTGGTGCACAATACTTCTGTTGTGTATATTATTTAATTTTCACACGATGACAGTGAAAGTCTGTCTAATGAAAGCGATCACTCACCCTGGTCTGTAAATGGAATATCTCTCAAAATCCAGCGCCTCAATATCTGCTTCCACTTGGCCCTGAAAGAAAAATCCATTCATGTTCGTGTCTCACGCAACTGTTCATACATTCTACAAAAGACTGGCAGTGTGTTCAACGCAGGAGAGAAAAGCAATAACCTTGACTTTGAGGTAGAGGAAGTTGCTGTTTTTATCCGCTCCTCTAGAGGACTCCAGGTGGAACTGTGAGCAGCCGCCCGCCTTGGCGAGCTCGGCTGATTTTAGAACATAGTCATGATCAACACGGAAGAATCCATCCTGAGAGAAAAGAAATAGAAAATTGTACTTTGACAGCATTTTGAAAACAGCTCACCTAGAAATTAAATCATGTTTGAGTAGGAAATGTGTTTTAATTATGGCTGGACAGTAATTCAGAATTATGATGTGTTATCTTTTTAACAAAATGATCATATAATAAACATAAGTTCAACATTTTTTCTTTGGGATTTATGAGAAAAATGAAATAACATCAGAGTAAAAACAATACTGTGATTTCTGCATCCACTGAGGAGGTTATCATTTTGTGTCCATTGGTTTATTCGCTGGTTGGTTAGTTTGTTTACCCACAAAATTACTTAAAATCATTTCCATGAAACTTGCAAAGATTAGACAAAAATAAATCTTCACTTTCAATAATATTGTGTTTTCAAAAACTTTCCCCAGGAATAATTAATGGGTCCTGAGGGGAAAAAAATAAGGAACATTTCTGGTCAGCTTGGGCCTGACAGCTGCATACGCTTTACTGAGGATACTGAGTAAACTATGACTGTATTTCTCTGCAAAAGCAAAGTGGACAGCCAAACACTGGTACTTTTGTTTTGATTCCTGGATTGAGAATAAAATTTGCTGCTGTGGTAATTGCTGGTTCATTGCATGAAACATGAGACAATGTGCATGACTCAAAGTGAGTCATGTAAGATGCAGATTACAGCCTGACCAGTGGATTTTGGAGGGTAAAACCAATATTGATATTTAAAGGATCAGAATTTTATTTATTTTTTACATAAACACACAAGATAGATGAACTTTTCTTTTCTTTGTTTTTAAGGATTCTGAACAGAGCAGGACATTTTACAGTTGTTATTGCAAGAATCCTGTCCAGCAATTTCTTGTTACTTCCTCTACACTAATACACTTTATTGACATTTACATCGCTTGATCAATTTTTGTGCTTTTGTGGAAATATTAGTTCCTTGGAAATTTTCTTTATCATTGCTACAGATGGAATTGCTGAGTCATTCCTACTGACGGATAAATCCATCAAATTCCAAGTAATATTAAAGGTCTACTGTAAAATCTTGATGAATTCACGTGTGAAGTACTCACATTGGATTTAGTGAGTTTCAATCGTCTTGACGAGAGATTAGCCTCTGGAGCAAATATTTACTGTTTACTGTCCACAACCAGTTTCTTTTTAACACGAGTCAAATGTTTCTCCACACGAGACATAAACAGTGATGCTGAAGTGGCTTCTGTCCACAAACTGTCCCTCTCCACAGATTATGTTGAATCTGTTTTTAGAGATTAGTACGGGTGTAACGATTCATCTACTACATCGATGTATCGATTTATACTCCTATGATCCAACTACATCGATCTGTGCTCGGCAAGTTGGCCTTCCGGACGACATATATCGATCTAACATCGTTTTAAAAAGTAATCAATCGATCGTATCGATACTAGGAAATAGCGCATTGGATTTAAGCACGTCAGACGTGTTTTTTTAGCACTTTTAATGATAAAGGCGTTAATCGTTACTCGATTCAGTCTGCCTGTCTGTGACCTCATCGCCACGTGCCGGCAGCAGCGCAAATATCAAAACATAGCATGATGGCGGATGGCAGAGGAGAAGTCGGCGAGCGAGAATTTATCAAGCCACCATTGCCGTCCAGTGTGTGGAAACACTTTGGCTTTTGCAAAGACGGAGATGTTCTGAATAAGTCGCTCGCTGTTTGTGGGATATGTAAAGGTCAAGTAAAGTACCACGGCAACACGTCAAGCGCCGTGGGATTTCATCACACAACAACGACGGTCCAGGCACCTCTTGCAGCGTTCCCAAGGTGAAGACAGCTCTGCAGAAGCCTCAGGCCTCGCCAGCATGTTTAGTCAGAGACTAAATATATAAATATAATGGATATAAACATGTTTATATCCATAATTTTTACCTGATTCTCTTACAAGAAACTACAGGAATCTAGGGAACGTCCCCTGCACTGTCTGCACTGCACTATCCAGGTATTTATTTCAGTCACACTGGTTGAATTTTTGGCTAAAAAGTTACTGAATCGATTTCAAGTCACTGAATCGTTTCAGATCGTATCGTTCTAAATGAACCAATATCGTCCTTGAATCGTATTGATAACCATGAATCATGATATGAATCGAATCGTTACATCCCTAGAGATTAGTAAGTTTAACTCACAGCCCCTGCTTTTGCCCGGGTTGTTCCCAGACAGCAGTAGCCGACATCATGGCCCTGGAAGGCAGCGGCGTAATCATCGAGCTTCTCAAAGTCCACCACCTCTTGTACCTGGAGACAAAGAAGCAAAATGTAACCGTCAACATGATGGATCTCAAAAGATGGGAGTCTCCTAATTCAAAAGACGGGGTCAGCTGACCAGAGGAAAAGCCGACCAACCAGGTTTTCATACGCTTTGCCCTCAAAGGTGAGCTGCCTCCTGCCAATGACTGTGATCTTGGAGAAGATGTTTCGCTCCAGCAGCTCTTGAAGCAGCAAACTGCCGGTTTCCCCAGACGCACCGAGGAGGAAACAGCTTCTGTTCCGCTGCCTGAAGTTTTCCTCCAGGGTCTTCATGTCCTCGGCCATACTGTGCACGACAACAAACACGCTCCTCTGTTAGCACTATATGTAAAACTAAAATTACAGTTTATTTCCATGTAATTCATCAACATGATGGAAGACAACAATCAAGAGCAATAACAAACACAAACAAATATATAATAATACGTATTTTGTTACTTCTCTATACATTTTCACGTCTCGACCATAATATTTGATGATTTGGTGTTTAACTGAACTGAATACCTTTTGATTTAGTGCATCTGTTTTTATGCATGGATTTTGTGAAGCACTTATGAATAAATACATGTATTAATAAATGTTTTCTTATATATTTCATAAAATGTAGTTAGTTAGTGGGTATTTATGTATACTTCTTTCTAATATTTAAAATATTTTTCATGAAAAAAAAAAAAAAAAGCCAGTGAGAAAAAGGTTTGCAGTTTGAGACGAATTCATTAGAGGATGTAGACAAATAGGAAATCACACTTTGTTGTATTCTAAATGGCGGATCTGTTTGGCAATAAGAGAGGACGATTTCAATTGACGGAATTCTTAACGGAGTCTGGTTTGACGGAGCCACGGGGATGAAGGTTCCTTCGTAAAATCGCGTGTTGTCGTCTCGGTGGTGTTTACAGTGTCGATCGGCAGCTCTGACATCTCTCATGGCTTCACCACCTCAACTAGCAGCTTTGCTAAAGTCACATTTACCTTCCGCGTCAACCTTTCACTCGAGGGGCGCTGCCTTCGTTTACCTGGAGACCTGAACCGGATCCGGGTCGTCGAGGTAACTGAGAACCGCTGCGATGACCAGGACCGAGACAGAGACGAGGCCGGTGGCTTTCCCCAGGCCGCAGACCAGATGTTTCACAACACCCATCCCCGAGAGGAAACCGCTGGATCACTTCCTGGTTCCCTCACGTGTCTCCCTGACTCGTTGACAGACTGAAGGGAACAGAGGTCCTTCCTCGTCACTGTCGCACGTGGGGCTCCACACACACAACGGTGTAAACGTGTTTATGGTTCCTTTGATGTGTTTGATGTCACGTGTGTTCGGTGCCGAACCCTGAAACTCACAGAAGACCAGGAGGAAGAGACGCTTCCTCATCCTCACTTCCTGAAACTGATCGTTATCTGTGGACTGCGCATGCGCGTTTGAATGAAACCCACACTATCCTGTTGGTTTTAATTGATTTATCTATGGTTTGACTTTATTTCTTTGTTGGATCTCTGACATGTTCTTTTTTTTTTATCTTACTTTTACTGCAACAATATTTTATGTAGTTATGGTTTTTAATTTAAAAAGGACATAGAGTAGAGCAGTGATGTCTGATCTACTGAGCGGCCACATGTCTTTCACAGTTCTTCCATACAAGCCAGTAGAATCTGATTTTCCTATCGCCTCGGCGTACCCTCAGGTTGGGCTTTCTACGTTATTGCGATTAAAAGGCGGAAACAACTGGTGACTTTTGATTAATTGATTAATTTTTTGCCAAAGCTTTTTTAAAGCCCTTTGTACACTTTTTTAGATAAGTGCCAAGCAAATAAAGTTGTCATTACTTTCCATGAAGTAATCAATTTTGACTGTTACTATGTGGTACTATGTACTATGTTTCGAGTACTTAATATGTTGTGTACTTACATGATCTGTCTACATGATATGTTTACACCGGGGATCAGAGGAAAACAGCATTTCAATTTCCTGTACATAGCAGAATTGACAATAATGTTGAATTTGAAACGTCAGTTATCACTGATAACATGATTGACTCATTCTAAATTCATAACTTTAGAACTAATATAAATGTAGAACCTCTAACCTGACTCGTTACAGAGTATGAAACCCAAAGTTCTTATAATTTTCATCGATAGCAATATGACAAAAGTCAAATATACAGCTGGAGATCTGGAGGGACCACAACAGATTAGTCTTAAATCTACGTGTATGGCCACCAAGTCATTCCATTGTCTGTTGAATTTGGGAGAAATGTCAGTGGTTTAGAGGATAGAGCAGATCATTGTAAATATTAAAACCAGAGAAGCTCATAATCGTGCAGTAGTTTGTTAATCGTTTGTAGAGCTATATCAACGTATTTCTTGTGCATTGTGTCAGCAGTGAGGAGCTTCAACACATTACTCATCCACCGCAGGTTTACAAAACTGTTTTTCATTCTTTGCTCTTAAAATTTTTTAAACCAAGCCTCTGCTCAGGGGCTAGAGTCAGACTTTAATCTTTAATGGAAATAATAATGGGACATTTAGACATTTACTACTTCAATCACTTACATATTAGAGCAATTCTAAATATCTCAGAGGTGACGCCTTTCACAAGGGCTCAATATTTTCTTTGTTTGGAAAATCTTCAATCAGTAGCTTCAGTCGTTTTCTGGTATATTCACACCAAAAATAATTTCTGGAGGCAGCGTCGACTCCATGCTCTTTCTTTCCAAGTAACTTTTCTGAACATTAAGAACCTCATCCTAATTAAAGAGTATGAAACCCAAAGGTCGTATTTATTTTTTGTCTTAACCAACATTTCAAGCTGCATTAACAGTCACGCTAGTGATAAAACATTTCATTTGAACAGGTTACACTGATTCAAGAGTCTTTATTTATTAAAACTACAAAATGGGAGCTTTCTTACCTTCAAAGATTTAATCAAAATGTCTTGTTCCAGCGTGTCACACTTACTGTATTTGTCTCAGTACACGTGTACCACGTAAAGTTTTGTACACATATCAACACGTAGTCAAACTCTATGTATGAGTCGATAAAAGATGATACCACAATAAGTCTACAGTTGTAAATGTTAATAAGCGCTCGGTTGTTGAGCCAGGTGCCCTGCAGCTCTTCTCTCGATGATACATGATCAGATCAAACAGTCTATTAGAAGAAATTGCCTGTTAATAATAACCCTAATAAATTGAAGCACTAAATTAAGAGATTAAAAGACTCGCAAAGCCTCATGATAGAGCTTCTTCAACCTGGCAAACCAGTTGTCATTGGTGTTAGAACGGATCCATTAAGTGTGTTATAGAAAATATGTACATGTTTATAATGTGAAAAT